ATCTGTTTAAGTTTGTTCATTAAGTTCCACATATAAGTGAGATCATGTGATACTTGTGTTTCTCTGACTGGCTTACTTTACTTACCACAATACTCTCCAGGTCCCTCCATGCTGTCTCAAAGGGTAAGGACTCCTTTTTTACAGCTGCATAGTTTTCCACTGTGTAAATGTACCACAGCTTTTGTATCTACTCATCTACTGATGGGTACATGGGCTGTTTCCAGATCTTAGCTATTGTGAATAGCACTGCTATGAACATAGGGGTGCATATATTCTTTGTGATTGGTGTTTTGGGTTTCTTATGATATACTCCTAGGAGTAGGATCACTGGGTAAACAGCAGATCAATTTTTAATGTTTTAAGGAAATTCCATACTGTTTTCTCTAGTAGCTGTACCAGTCTGCATTCCTATAAGCAGTGCACAACGGTTCCCTTTTCTCCACATCCTCGCCAGTACTTGCTGTTTGTTGATTTATTGACGGTAGCCATTCTGGCAGGTGTGAGGTGATACCTCATAGTCATTTTAATTTCCAACGCTCTGATGACTAGTGACATTGAGCATTTTTTCATATGTCTCTTGGTCATTTGTATGTCCTGTCTGGAGAAGTATCTATTCAGGTCCTCTGCTCATTTTTCAATTGGGTTTTTGACTTCCTTTTTTTGAGTTGTATGAATACTTTATATATTTTGGAAATAAACCCCTTGTCAGATGTGACACTGGCAAATACACTGTCCCAAACAGTGGGTTCCCGCTTCATTTTGATACTGGTTGCGTTTACTGTGCAGAAGCTTTTTAGTTTGATGCAGTCCCATTTATTAATTTATTCCTTTGTTTCTCTTGCCCTAGATGATGTACCGGTGAAAATTCTGCTACGTGTGCTCTCTGAAATTTTGCTGCCTACATTTTCCTTGTAGGATTTTTATGGTTTCATGACTTACTTGTTTATGTCTTTTATTCATTTTGAATTTATTCTTGTGTATGGTGTAAGTTGGTGGTCTAGTTTCATTTTTTTGCATGTAGCTGTCCAATTTTTCCAGAGCCATTTATTGAAGAGGTTGTCCGTACTCCATTGTATGCTCTTGCCTCCTTTGTCAAATATTTATTGAGGATAATATCTTGGGTCAGTTTCTGGGTTCTCTATTCTCTTCCACTGATACATGCCTGTTCTTGTACCAGTACCAGGCTATCTTGATTACAATGGCTTTTTAGTATAACCTGATATCTGGAATTGTGATCGCTCCAACTTTGTTCTTTTTCAAGATTGCTGTGGCTATTTGTGGTCCTTTTTTGTTCCATATAATTTTTGGAGTTTTGTTCCTGATCTGTGAAACATGCTGTTGGTATTTTAGTAGGGATTGCATTGAATTTATAGATTGCTTTGGGTAGTATGGACATTTTACTAATGTTAATTCTCCCAATCCTTGAACACAGTCTATTCTTCCACTTGTTTATTACCTTCCTCTATCTCTTTTCTCAATGTCCTGTAGTTTCCCAAGTATAGGTCCTTTACCTCCTTTGTTAAGTTTATTTCTAAGTATCTTAATTGTTTTGTTGCAATGGTAAATGAGATTTTTTTTTAGTTTCTCTTTCCAATAGTTCATTATTGTTGTATAAAAATGCCATCAATTTCTGGGTGTTAATTTTGTATCCCACTGAACTGCCGAATTCATTTATTAAATCTACTAGTTTTTTGGTGGAGTCTTTAGGGTTTTCTAAGTACATGTCATCTGCAAATAATGACAGTTTTACATCCTCCTTTCCTATTTGATGTTTTTATTTATTCTTCTTATCTGATCACCGCCCCCCTTCCCCATTTTTATCTTTGGCACCAGTAACAGAAAATTGACATATATTAAGAAACACATTTGTTTTCATGATATTGTAAGATGAAAACTAACTTTCAAAAACAAAAGTCTAGCCCTGGCCGGTCTGGCTCAGTGGTTAGAGTGTTGGCCTGCAGCCCAGAGAGTCCTGGGTTCAGTTCCTGCTAAGGGCACGTACCTCAGTTGCGGTGAGCCCCGGTTAGCATTGTGTGGGTGGCAACCACTGGATATGTCTCTCTCCCATCAATGTTTCTCTCTCTCTTCCTCCCTTTCTCCCTCCCACTCTACCTGAAGATAAATGTAAAAAATGTCCTCAGGTGAGGATTAAAAACAGAAAACAAAAGTCTACTACAGACTATTAGATCAAAATAAAAATTTAAATTTCAAATTTTGAAAACGCAAAAATGGCATCACTACCGAATCAATGTAAATAAAGGAAGTAGAACATACAAGTAAAATGAGTTGATAATGAGAAGGGCCTAGAACATAAATTTTAAATAATTTTTAAAATGATGATGCAATGCTAAAAAACATGAAAATCTCACCCAGCCGGTGTGGCTCAGTGTTCTGAGTGTTGTCCCATGGACTGAGAGGTCCCAGCTGGATTCCCAGTCGGGGTGCATGCCCAGATTTTGGGCCCAATCCCCAGTAGGGTGCATGCAGGAGGTGGCCAATCGATGTTTCTATCTCTCTCTTCCTCTTGCAAAAAAGTCAATAAAAATATATTAAAAAAAAAAACGAAAAGCTTTAAGAAAGAGAATTTCAGGAAAACCACATGAAAATAAACAAAACAAAGAAAGTAGAAATTTTAAAAAAAATACACACACAAACACACACACATATACAATCTAAGTGCCAGTGCCCACCTCACTTGAACCCACTGCTCCATCATAGTGCCCTGCAGGAGGAACAAATAGACACTAATGGCCTCCTGATGTGATCAAGCAGGAAGCACACACTACCACTTATGGCCAAAAATGTTGAAATTGATTCTTACTAATGTCCAAATAAATAAGTACAAACAATATAATGAAGAGTAAAATAAAATAACACCATGAAGAAGTAATCCGTTAAATCCAGACTATGGGATATCCTACAGAACAAATAGCCTTGTTTCTTCAATAAATCATTTGCATGGAAAAAAAGGACAGTGTAACCCAGGTGAGGGGATTGTTTTAGTTTAAAAGAGGCTTAAGAAACTTAAAAAAGCATATGAAATACCTGGAAATTATTTGGATCTTAATTTGACCAAAACAACTTAAAAAACAAAAAACAAGTTGGAGAGTAATTTGGGAATTTTGAATACGAACTGGGAATTAAATGATATTAAAGAATTATTGAAAGTTTTGTTGTTAGCTGTAATAATGGCACTGCGGTTATGTGGGTAAATGCCCCTGGGGTGGAAATAGGGGGCTGGGGGCTCATACTAAAGTACACAGGACAAAAATGTCATGCTGCTTGAGAGTCACTGCATGAGATCATATAAACACAAACCAACCAACCACCTTCATACTTAATACTTCTGTAATATGCATTTCATTTACTTCCATAAATATGTGTCTAAAATTTTCAAATTCACTATTAAAGTCATTTTCTATATAAAATAGTTGCTTATTAGTAGTTGGTCACTATTACCTTTGTTACTTTTTTTTTTTCTTTTTAATCCTCACCTGAGGATATGTTGTTGTTTTTTAACTGATTTCAGAGAGAGTGAGAGAGAAAGAAACATCAATCAGTTGCCTCCTGTATGCACTTGGCAGGGTTCGAACTCGAAACCTAGGCATGTGCCCTGACTGGGAATCGAACCTGCAATCTTTTGGTACACTGGACAATGCTCCAACCAACTGAGCCACCTGGCCAGGGCTCTTTGTTGTACTTTTAAGTTACTGATATATTTCTAGGGCAAATGTCTAGTAAATGAGGCCACGTAAATTTAATGCACAAAATAAAACTACTTGGTATCTGCCAAGAGTAAAACCAAACAAAGAAAAGAAATTTATGTGTATATATAAATATGCTTATTTTTAAAAAGGTAGACAGAAAAGTCAAACCATATATTTTTGCTAAGTGAAATAATTTTAATTATAATATTCTATGAGAATGGCTAGTCATATGTGGTAAATTATCATTTATATAGCTACTAGGCCTAATAATAACTTAATTCTACTTTATAACACTAAACTGTTCATATATGCTGAGGTTTCTATTATTGACATAATAACATTGATAACTTTGAATGTCAATAAGCACAAAGAAAGAAAAGCATACCATCAAAAAACATGAGGCACAGAACGTTCCCTGAAGAAGGCTACCTAACTGCTCTCTTCCAGCCTAGGCCTTCACCTTCCACTCTTGCTAGGAAAGAGCTGTACCAGACGCACTCACGTGTCAGAAGTCAACTCTGCATGTGTGGCCCAGGAGGGAGGAACTTTAACAACAATAAGAGGGAGTCTGTACTTTAAGAACACAGATTAATTTTAAAATTTTGTCTTTCTGAATGGAAGAAGGTGTGGCCTCCTTGTCTAGTCAGTTTTTTAAAAGAATTGGACTAAATTTTAGTAATATATTTACTTTTAGCTAGATAAACAATAATTTTATTTTTATAAAAGATAGTTTTTTTGGGGGGGGGACCTACCTAACATCTTCCCTGAAATGTCTGAAACTATGTTATTTCTATTTAATACAGTTTCCCTTGCATATACAAATGATGACATGCACAGTGAACAGTTAAATATTGTGTATGGGACTGGTGGGGTGATGGCTTAAAAGAATGATACACTACTATCAGTCTTTTCCAAACCAATCACAAATGGGTCATATTTACAGAATTAGTCACATGTGTAAGACATTGATGGCTGGAATTCTTAAAATTCTAGAATTTAACCCATTGGGATTTAATTTCTTATTGGCCCTGGAGATTGGGCATTCTGGAAAGGCAAAGTAGTCTCCTATTTCACACATGTACCATGGGTCTACAAAAGCTTTAGAGACAAATATTTAAAGTGCCAGGCCTTCAAAGAGATTCCAGCCTAGTCTGCAACAAATATTTATGGCACATTTTAGATCTCTACTTTTATAAATACAGACCGAATGTCACACCCTGTAAATACTCTGCAAACACAGTGTCAGGTTTCTGTTGTGGAAGCCACAGCAGATGGCTCTGAGGGTCACCTTACCTGAGAGAGCATCCTGGGCTTCAAAGAAAGTACTAAGACCCCCTTTCACACAGGCCAGGCTGCTTTCACTCTTCTTGTTAGCCTGTCTCTTCAGGTTGGTGACTGCCATTTTGAGCTGTTCAAAACTGAAATAAAATAAAGAAACCAAACATCTGACACTCTTAACAAGTAAAAAAGAAATAAGACAGTGCATTAAGTATAAAATATTGAAGCCTAGCCCTGGCCAGTTTGGCTCAGCGGTTAGAGCGTCAGCCTGCGGTCCGGAGAGACCTGGGTTCGGTTCCTGCTAAGGGCATGTACCTCGGTTGCAGTTTGTCCCCAGCCCTGGTTGGTCATGCGGGTGGTAGCCACTCGATGTGTCCCTTTCATGCCGAGATGTTTCTCTCTCTCTCTCTCTCTTCCTCTCCCTCCCTCCCACTCTATCTGAACAAAAAATAGAAAAATGTCCTCGGGTGAGGATAAAAAAAATATATATATATATAGAAGCCTACATTAAGAAAGATACAGAGTTATATAATATGTAACCAGATAAAAACAAAAGCTTTCAAATTCTTACCTGGAGCTAAAACTTTTATTGTGAATGCCAAAATTATAGCAGCTAGAAAAGAGATTAGTAGCCCTCAAATGGTCATTCCAAATATATAAGTAGATATTTTTATGACCAATATATATCATATATACATGTTCCAAGTAAGGAGTTCTGAGCATCATCTCCCTGATGTTAAGATCTAGACCATGCAATGGCTGGAAGCCATCTAAGACAGGATCTTCTCTGTATGTTCACTTCTGTATTCTGGACACAAACTGACCATACTGTTATCCTTACCACATCAATAACCAATCCTGTCATTAGCAGTGAAATTACAGAAAAACTGGGGGAGGTTTTTAATCCACAATCTAAATATCTAAAAAGACAATAACATTTTATCTCTACATCTCAAGCACAGAAAAAAAACAAACAGGTAGTCCTCTGTATTTCAGAAGTCTTATTTCTATTTGAGCTAAGACATTTGGCTATAAAATTTTGAATATATTGAGTGCCATGATAGCCCTACACAGAAAAGAGATCAATTCTGACTTAGTAATAGAAAAAATACATCATAATGTAAAATTAGAACCATCTTCTATAATAGAAGATTTCAGACATTTGCTTTAAAAATTTATAAGGCAGGTCCTGGCAGGTGTGGCTCAGTGGATAGAGCATCGGCCTGCAGACCAAAAAGTTGAGGGTTCAATTTCAGTCAGGGGCACGTACTTTAGTTCGGTCCCCGTCCCTGGTCAGGATCGTACAGGAGGCAACCAGTGGTTGTGCCTCTCTCACTCAATGTTTTTCCCTCTCCCTCTCACTCTATCTGAACATAAATAGAAAAATATCCTTAGGTGAGGATTAAAAAAAAAATTTATCAAGCCAAATTCATTCTATGTATACACCAACTTTTTCTCACATTTTCTACTAATGGTGTTCCTTCTAATAGGTGAAGGATTTCTCCTAAGTTATATTTTAACAAGTTGAATTTTCAAGAATATAAAGTTTAAGCAATGAAACATTCATTAAAACATTTTTACTAAATATAATTGTTTAAAACCATCTTGCAAAAATAGTGAAAAACCTGATCTTGTAGAATGTGTGGGTAAAATGAAATTAGCAGACAAAAAGGAGCACTTTTACTTAACTATATAACCGTGTCTATTTTTTCACCTAATTTTAAACAAAGTCTTTGCAAAATGATAAAACAAGTCATCTTCCTTTGCTCTATGGCCTTGGAAAGAAGTGTGTTACCTGCTTTACACCAGGACTTAAAAGTTTTCTTATTTGAGTAGGAAAAAGTCACATTCAGCCACATCAGTTTAGGTACCCAGCTGAGATTCCACAAAGTTTTAACGGGTTGCACAAACAATAAAACTGATAGAAACAATAAGGGCCCTCTAATTAATAATCTTTTTATAAATAAGAAAATAGATACCTTGAAATGTGCACGAGCTCACCCAAAGTCAAAGGACTCGGAAGCGGCAGACCTATTAGCGGCATTCAGGTGAAACAATTCACAAGCAACAGTCCCACATCACTAACCTGGTGGTTGAGTGGTTCTCTATAAGATACCAGGCAGCTGAAAAATTCTCACTTGTAAAATCAGCACTCATTCCAGGAAACAGCTTTTCCAATTCCTTCTGGGGAAATTTACTTCTGAAGTAGAAAAAAGGTTACAATATATTTCAAGTTCTATTACTTACAAAGATTAACAGACAACCAGGAGTACATAGTATAATAAACATGAATATAAACCATTATAATTATTCATCTACATTATGAAGCCTATGTTTGTATGTGTATACAAAATATATTTCCTACACCTCAGTTGATTTCTTATATATCAATTTTGATTATATATGATAGGAAATTAATTAAAATATAGAAATTACATTAATACTAGAATATAAGATTTAAAGAGACTAAGTTGATACTTTATAAAAATCTATCCAAACATGAAATCAGTCCCTAATCAATGGGTAAAATTCAAAATCTGGATACAATGAAATTGAATAACATGAAATCAGTTTGGTAAAAATGTTAAAGACCTCTATGAAAGTTATTTTAAGGCATACTATTTTCATGTCCATGTCTGAAATAATTTTAAGAAAAGTTTATGATAACAGGCAATACATTATCTACAGCTCACTTTCTTTTCTACAATTTTTTTTTTAATCCTCACCCAAGGATATGTTTTTTATTGATGAAAAAGAGAGAGAGAGAGAGAGAGAAAGAGAGAGAGAGAGAGAGACATCAATGCAAGAGAAACACTGATCCATTGCCTCCTATACACACCCCAACCAGAGATTGAACACGCAACCTGGGTATGTGCCCTGACCAGGAATCAAACCCACCACCTTTTGGTGTACGGGACGAGAGTCCAACCAACTGAGCCACACCAGCCAGGGCTCTTCCCTATATTTTTAATGCCAATTTCCAGATAAATTCATTTATTTACTAGTTTAAATACTAATTAAATACCTACTATAGGTCAGACTCCACGATGGCCATCAGACAGTTGTGTCTGAGAGCTACAGTAACAATGGGCAGACCTTGACCATTGAGGGCTTATTAGCTAGCAGCCCTACCTATACTCTCCACCCCTTCCTCTGTGCAGAATGAAGTCCAAGTTCTGTAGTCAAGTCTCTCCTTGATTCAAACCAGCTAATCTCTCACGAATCGTACCTACCACTCTCATCCTCAAACCTGAAGCTTTAGCAACTTCAACGGCATTGTATTTTCCTGCCATGTCCTACTTGTTGTTACTTTATTACTCTGATTGAAATGTGTTCTTCAACCCCATATACTAGGTAAGCCCAACTCTCAAGGTATAACGAGGACACATGTTATTTTATAGCCTTGTGTCTCTTTGGGTTCTTTGTTTATTCTTCTGTTTAAAGTATTCACTGCAAATTTATTATACATTAGGAAGCTTAACTTAAAAACTTTATCATAGTATAAAGGCACGTCATGTTTGTTCACAGCAGAACAAGTTTCAAAATATATTTTCGTTTAAATGTATTCAGTCAGTATATAATCTTCATAAAAGTTGTATATATTTTTTCTGCCAACACCTTCATTACACTTATATTTTCAACTCTGACACTATTACATATGTCCCCAAACCCCTACCCACTTTTCCCACCTCCACCCAGACCCCTCCCACCCACCATCTGGCCATCACCACACTGCTGTCTGTGTCTATGGGTTATGCACATATGCTCTTTGGTTAATCTCTATACATTCTTTCATCCACTTCCACCCCCACTCTGACGTCTGTCAGTCTGTTCCATGTATCCATGTCTCTGGATCAGCTTTGTTCATCAGATTCCTCATGTAAGTGAGATCATATGGTATTTGTCATTCTCTGACTGGTATATTTCACTTAGCATAATAATTTCCAGGTCCAACCATGCTTCGGAAAAAAGTAAGAGTTCCCTCCTTTTTATAGTCATATAGTATTCCATTGTGTAAATGTACCATGACATATTTATCCACTCACCTACCGATAGGCACTTGGTCTGTTTTCAGATATTAGCTATTGTAAATAACGTTGCTGTGAACATAGGAGTGCACATATTCTTTCTGATTGGTGTTTCGGGATTCTTAGGATATATTCCCAGAAGTGGGAACGCTGGGTCAAAAGGCAGTTACATTTCTAATTTACTGAGGAAACGCCATACTATTTTCCAGTGGCTGCACCAGTCTGCATTTCCACCAACAGTATACCAAGGTTCCCTTTTCAGTACATTCTTGCCAGTACTTATTTGTTGATTTACTGATGGTAGCCATTCTGGCAGGTGTGAGGTGATACCTCACTGTAGTTTTCATTTGCATCTCTCTGATGATTAGTGACACTGAACATTTTTTTCATATGTTTACTGGCTATCTTTACGTCGTCTTTGGAGAAGTGTCTATTCAGGTCCTTTGCCCATTTTTAAAATTGTATTGTTTGTCTTCCTGGTGTTGCGTCATATAATTTTGGAAATTAAACTCTTATCAGATGTATCATTGGCAAATATGTTCTCCCATATAGTGGGGTCCCTGTTCATTTTGTGGATGGTTTCTTTTGCTGTGCAGAAGCGTTTTAGTTTGATGTAGTCCCACTTTTTTTTCCCCCTTTACATTTTTTTCCCTTTACTGATTTTATTTATTTATTTATTTATTTGAGAGTATGTGCCCTTAGCGGGAACTGAACCCGGGTCTCTCTGGTCCGTGGGCTCATGCTCTAACCACTGAGAAAAACCAGCCAGGGCCCTTTATTGATTTTAGAGAGAGAGGAAAGGAGAGGGAGAGAGAGATAGAAACATCGATGAGAGAGAACATTGATTGGCCTCCTCTTGCATGCCCCCTATTGGGGATCTGGCCCACAACCCAGGCATGTGTCCAGGAATCAAACTGGCGACCTCTTGGTGCATGGGCGATGCCCCACCACTGAGCCACACTGGCCAGACAGCCCACTTTGTTACATTTATAAATACAAGACTTATACAGCACTCCATCAAAACAGAAATTTAGCCCTGGCCGGTTTGGCTCAGCGGTTGGAGCGTCGGCCTGCGGTCCGGAGAGACCCGGGTTCGGTTCCCGCTAAGGGCATGTACCTCGGTTGCAGTTTGTCCCCAGCCCTGGTTGGTCGTACGTGTGGCAGCCACTCGATGTGTCCCTTTCACGTCGATGTTTCTCTCTCTCTCTCTTCCTCTCCCTCCCACTCTGTCTGTACAGAAAATGGAAAAGTGTCCTCGGGTGAGGAAAAAAAAACACAGAAATTTAAAACACTTTATAAATATCTACATATATGTCATACCTATAAAACTTTCAAAGGAGTACTCTGTTAAAGGAAGAAAAAACACCCAATCGGAACAGAAAAAAATATTTTTAAGAATGAGGATACCGCCCTGGCCAGTTTGGCTCAGCGGTTAGAGCTTCGGCCTGCGGTCTGGAGAGACCTGGGTTTGGTTCCCGCTAAGGGCATGTATCTCGGTTGCAGTTTGTCCCCGGCCCTGGTTGGGTTGTGCGGGTGGCAGCCACTTGATGTGTCCCTTTCACGTCGATGTTTCTCTCTCTTTTTCTTCCTCTCTCTCCCTCCCACTCTATCTGAACAAAAAATGGAAAAATGTCCTCAGGTGAGGATAAAAAAAAAAAAGAATGAGGATACCTTAAGGGAACCTTGGAACAACATGAAACATTAACAACATCCTCATCACAGGAGCGCCAGAAGGAGGAGAAAGTGAACAAAGGATAGAGAACCTGTTTGAAGAAATAATGACAGAAAAATTCCCTAACTTAGTGAAGGAAAAAGTCACACAAGTTCAGGAAGCATAAAGAGTCCAATCAAAATGAAACCAAAGAAACCCAGACCAAGACACATCATAATTAAAATGGCAAAGGTTAAAGACAAAGATAGAATATTAAAAGCAGCAAGAGAGAGACAGTTAGTTATCTACAAGGGGGGTTCCCATTAGGCTATCAGGTGATTTCTCAACAGAACTACTTCAGGCCAGAAGGGATTGGCATAAAGTATTCAAACTAATGAAAAGCAATGACCAGAATACCAAACTACTCTATCCAGCAAGGCTATCATTTTTAAAATGAAGGCAAAATAAAGAACTTCCCTGTTTAAAATAAAAAAAACAAGACAAAAAAAATGCTTAAGGAGTATATTACCACCAAGCCAGCTTTGAAAGAAATGTTAAAGGGACTGCTTTAAGAAGAAGAACTAGAGAGAGAAAGGAGTGTAGATACAAAGAAAAAAAGGGTAATAAATAAATACCTATCAATAATAATCTTAAATGTAAATGGATTAAATGCTCCTATCAAAAGACACTAAAACCCATATATATGCTGTCTACAAGAGACCACCTCAGAACAAAAGATACACACAGCCTATAAGTAAAGGAATGACAAAGGTATTTCGTGCAAATAAAAATGAAAAAAAAAAATAGCTAGGGTAGCAATATATATATTTGACAAAAAAGACTTTAAAACAAAGAGATAAAGGACACTAAATAATGATAAAGGTCACAACCCAACAAGAGGATATAACCCTTGTAAACATTTAAGCACCCAACGTAAGAGCATATAAATATATAAAAGCACACCTTGATGGACATAAAAGGAAACACTGACAGTAATATAGTCATAGTAATAGATTTTACACCGCACTAACATCAATACATAGATCTTTCAGAGAAAAGTCAACAAAACAGCAGCCTTAAATAACACACTAAATGAGATGGATTTAATTAATATCTTCAGAGCATGGCATTCAAAAGCACTAGCATATACATTCCTTTCAAGTGCAGATGGAGCATTTTCCTGGTTAGACCACATGTTAAACGGACAGAAAACAAGACTCAATAAAATTAAGAAGACTGAAATCATACCAAGCATGTTCTCTAACCATAATGGTATGAAACTAGAAATCAATCACAAGAAAATAAACGAAAAGACACAAGAGCACATAGAGGCTAAATAACATGCTAGTACACAATGAATGGGTTAACAATGAGATCAAGGAAAAAAACCATAAGATACCTTGAAATAAATGAAAATGAGAACACAACAATCTGAAAAATAGACACAGCCAAAGCAGTCCTAAGAGGGAAATTCAGAGCATTAGAAGCCTGCCTCAACAAACAAGATATATCTCAAATGAG